GTGTGTGTGTGTGTGTGTGTTGTGTGTGTGTGTGTGTCTTGTTTGGTCACTTTTTGGAAAAAGTATTTATATCATACCTAGATTTCTACTTGAATTGATTCTCAGTGGAAAATTAGTGAATACTGAATCAATCGCTTGGCCATAGCAATTACTGTGTTTCCCTCATTAATGAACGTGTTCGTTCATTTTGAAATTCCTACTACTTTGCCTGCTGTGACTTTGTTTATTTTGTAAAACCATCCTGACTAGTTTAAACAATTTAATCGCTTTCAGCATGATGAGATTATTTCTTGTAACGTATCTGTTTCCATTGTAAAATAATGATAACACATCTGCCTTTGGGGCACAGCACTGTATCACAGTACTGTATCTGAGATGTTCAAATATAAATGGAAGTGTTCCATTATAAGGCCTCCCATCCTCAATTGATCATTTTTCCTTCTTTATTCAACAGTATTTCTTTATTTCCTTCCCTTTCCTTCCCTTCCCTTCCTTTCCCTTCCCTTCCCTTCCCTTCCTTCCTCAACCTTTCCTCTGGTCTTTATCACCTGGTCCTTCTCTGGTATTTTTCCCTTAACTTGGCCTACATATTTACCCCAGTTTTCTCCCTAAAACACCAGTAGGCTCACATAGTCCTCACCTTCCTCTGTACAAGGCCAGGGTACCCACAAGCCTGGAGCTGAAAACCTTCCTTTGGCAGTCATTACTGTTGAAAGAATTTCCACATGTGCAAATTTTTCAGGACAAGTATTGCAGACAATGCAAGTGATCTGTCTTGAGTCCAGCGACATCACAGGGACCACCCCATGTGGGATTTTCCTCATCCTGCCCATAACATTTGAACTCAGTTGAAATGAACATCAAAGGCTTCTCTAAAGAAGAAAAGAAAAAGAAGAGGAGTCATAAAAGGGCAGAGTAAGGCCTGGAGACAAAGTTGAGATAGGGACAGTGTATGACCAGGCAGACAGCACCAGCAGTGCTGGGATATCCGTATTTGCCAAGTCCTCAACGTATTTTCCTATGATTACTCCGTATATCAGGATCCTGCAGTCAACGCAATTCTCATCCATTCCAGTCATTTCATAGCTGACTTGGAGAGGAGTAAAGGAAAAGGAAGTTGCCATACTATTGTATGATTTAACTCAATAATAACAGTTTAGAAAACGTGTCTTCATATTTATGAAAGGAAGATTTAACATGCAAAATATATTCTGATTTAAAGTTGAGGTAGAGGAAGACAAAACAAATTTCCCTCAATCTCACCTTTGCCACCACCATCATTCCACCAAGGGGAGGCCTTAGAGCAGCCCTCTGAAGTTTTTACGTTTAAGTTGCTTAGGAAAAGGCAGTGTTCCATGTGTCCCAACCCATGTTACAGCCCCAGCTCTGGGTTGAGGGGTACTTTGCTTTCCTTGCCAACTGCCCTTAAGCTCATTCATTTTAAGGACCTCGTGGGAGGGATGACTGTAATCTGAGGTGGGATTTACATTTTCTTGAGAACTTTGAACTTAATATCATTATACAGCACCCCAATATCCTTCCCAAGCCCAATTTTCAAAGCTGCCATAGTTTCACTATGGGTGTTAGTAGATTCATTTACCAAATTAGCCAAGCCATTACTGGACAGAAGTCAAGGACCGGAGGATGGTGGGCTACAAGGGAGGGACCCAGGGAAATTCTGCCAAATCCTGATGTAAAGTACCAAGGGCTGGGGATGGTTGGACAGCCTGGGAAACCTTGATGTTGACAACATTTTTCAAAGGAATGTAAAAGGGAATAAATGGGAAGGGCTTGAAAGAAATCTGCTTTGCACTTATGTCTACAGAGCAGTGTTTCTCAGACTGCCTGTGGGAGAGACCAGCATGTTTGGAGTTTTCGTTTGTTAATTTGTTTGTTTTCAGTTTCAGCCCATTGTGAACTGATACGTTTATACAATACAAATAAATAGAAAAATAGTAATTAAATAAAAAACAAAGACATACAAAATACCTACCCAATTTTTATTATATTGGAAAAACTATATTTCATTAATAAAATAAATTAATACAGTGACATGTTAAGTAGCTGTTACAGTTTCTAAACTCTGGCTCTCAATTTCTGTCCCCATCTTGCTCCAAATCAGTAAGAAACAGGTTCAGAGACTGGCACAGGTCTGCAGGTCATGCTTTGATTGACATGGCTCTAGGGGGTGTGGCTTATAAATCTGATGGAGCAGGTGTCTGGGCTGTTGAAGAAAGGCAGTCCAAGGGGTAGAACCACACAAGGCCTTTGGAACAGCGGAACAGCTGTTCTATAAGGGTATCCTGAAACACAGGAGAGGCAGAAACAACATCTCTAAGAGCAGCAAGAAAGATAGCTAAACACAGCAAAGGAGAACCACAAGGCCACGATGTGTGAAGGCCAGCCCTGCTCTGAGCACGGCCTTGCACTTGCTCGGTCCGGTACAGCTGCTGTAAAGCCATCCAAAGCAAACACGGCCCTCCCTGCAGCAGACTCAACAGAACGAAAACCAACACCCAGAAATAAATTAGATCACCGAGCTCATCATGTTACACAGCCCACTGTTCTCAAATCCAGGATCTTGAATATAATAACAAATGATACTATTAACTGGCTAATTGGTCTGAAGCCAAAACCAAATAACTCATTGCTATTAACCAACATGATTCTCAGAATTTTCCAAGTCAGCTACAAGAAAGAGTTATGAGACCCTTCCCAACTGAACTAAATCTCACCCATGTCTAATTGCACGCAGTGCATATGGCTAAACCCTTTTTCTCTTCTGCACAGCCAGCTTGTCTCTCAGAGCATCTAAGCCCCCAGAGACTTCTCAAAAGAGGCAGGCATGTAGTCAGGTTGAAAGGAACATGGAGCTGGGAGCCAGCACATAGGCGCTTAAGGGCCACCTACTAACTCGGTAATCTCAAGCAAGTCCCTGCATTTCCGTTTCTTTATCCATAAAACAAGACTAAGGACAACCACTTCCCTGGAAATACAGCTAAAAACGTTCAGTAATTTGTACAATGCTATGTGGACTTTAGTCCTTACTCCTCAGAAATAAGCAGCTGAGAGATGTTTGTAACCATTCCCATTTCCCCCACCACACACACAAACACACACACACACACACACACACACGAAGCTTTGTCCTTTACAATTTATTTCTTCCTTAGAGTTCAGATGACTTCTACCTGTCACACACCATCTTCCTTATGATCCCAGCATCACTGGGATGTAGCAGGGAACAGATGCCATCCTGTCCGCCTTCCAATGTGGAACAATGGCACACAGTAAAGTCATCCAAGGCACATCAACAGTGACAAAGATGACTTGAAAATTCACAGGGACATTTGAGTGGGAGTAATAAGTTTGGTTTATTAAGCTTGTGGCTTTTCTTAACCTGGCTCCTCCTTATCTCACCTTCTGCTCTCTCTGGCAGGAAGTCACTGCTCTGCACTGGTTTTGTTCATTCCGTTTAATATGTAGAAGGCTTTGCTGTTGCCACATACCTGTACAAGGGAAGCAGGCTTTTTATAAAATTCTGTGTTCTGGCAGGGTACTCATTCACATGCAAGTTAACATACAGGGAGGTCAGGCAGGTGATTTGGTCTAGGTCATAAGCTGTGTTGCCTTGGGCAAATTACTTAGCCTCTTGGAACTTATTGCTTCCATTGTAATGTAAATATAATAGTTGTCCTGCTTTCCTCAAAGACATAGAAATGAAACCATAAATGATCACATAAAAAGAATTTTGGAAATAACTTAAGGCATTTTACTTATATATTATTAAGTTATAATGTATAATATATAATTATAATATTAATTATTATTATTCCTACTTTCTGTGCTAGAAAACAATGTGATAGGAATCTCTTGCAATCTGCTGAGCATAAAAGTTCTGGATTTTAATTCTCCTTTCTAAAATGAATAGAAGACAGAATGCATACATCTTAAAAGAAAGATCTGTTGATGTAATGCAAATTTTGATCAGTATTTCTAGGAATTGGTTGGCATTCTGGTGCGTGATCTGTTTGTATTCATTTTATATTTGTACTGCTGATCAGTGTCTGGTACCAACAGAATCTTGTAGAATCTTGAGTCTAATACCTTTCGTATTGAAGGCCTGGCAATGCATTGTCATCTGCTCTGGGGAGAAGTACAAAATGCAGTCCTTTATTTTTAAAAGACATTATTATTAAGTCCCTGGAAAAGCATACAGCCATTTTCAGTTAAAAGTGAGTAAAAGAGAGACTCTGAATCAAAAATAGTTGCCAATGCTCACCTTTAATAACATTATGAAATCTCACAAAAATGTAACTAAAATTTAACCAAATTTGGGCAAACTTAGAAAAACGACATGAGTAGGGATGTTTGCTGCAAAACATTTGGCTTTCTCTGGATGATGCTCAGGTTTTAGCTAAGCCACATTGTAAGGTAACCATATCTATGTTCAAATGAAAAAGAGAGAAGAATGAAATACGATAGGCACCATTTTGTGCCAGGAAAAATAGTAAGTATTGCTTGAGAGCAATGGACATCTTTGAACTCTGTCTGAAACTTCATTACGTTCTTACTGCATGGATATTTTTCATTTATAAATATTATATACATATATAGTATAAATTTTATTTATAACATAAGTACTCTGATACAGATATTACAGATGGTATCCCCAGATAGGAATTCTTTATGGCCCACATACCTCTCCCAAAAAAGTGCTAAAAGCAATTAGCTGGGCGTGATGGTGGGCACAGGTAGTCAGTCCCATCTACTCGGGAGGCTGAGGCAGGAGAATAGCGTGAACCCGGGAGGCAGAGCCTGCAGTGAGCCGAGATCGCGCCACTGCACTCCAGCCTGGGTGACAGAGGGAGACTGCATCTCAAAACAATACAAAACAAAAAAGTGCTAAAAGCACAGACCTGAAAGTCCCCAAACTGATACATAACGTTTACACCTAGGTGTGAAAACAATCTTACCCCTAGAGCACTTGTGGTGAGAAAGTCAAAACTTGCAAGAACCAAACGCAGTCTTCAGAATCTTCTTCCTTCATCACACAATCAAAGCATTTCATCTGGGCTTCTTAAATCTAAGTCTTTAAAATGACTAAGTTTTCTTCCTTTTCTCTGTTTTTCCTAATAGCTGGGGCTTGTATGACTCCTGTGTGTAAGTATCTCCTATATCTACATGTAAACTTTAAATGAATTTCTACTGACCATATTGTTATATTATAGATGAAAATTATTTTCACAATCATTCCTATCTTTCTGAACTGTAATGTATTATACAAATTTTTCATCAGTAAAATTATTGTAGCTTTTAGGTAGGGTTATTGTTGTTCTTTAAGCTTTGAAAATAATATAGTGCCTGTCATTGGAAGAATTACATGAAACAGTCTCTTTAGATCTTTTGTGTGAAATCTTTTGGTCTACTTTTGTAGGTTTCAATATGGAAATTATTGGAGGGAAAGAAGTGTCACCTCACTCCAGGCCATTTATGGCCTCCATCCAGTATGGCGGACATCATGTTTGTGGAGGTGTTCTGATTGATCCACAGTGGGTGCTGACAGCGGCTCACTGCCAATATCCGTAAGTCCGCCACACTTTTCCAGGCATGTGTTTTTTCTGCAACGTATTATAGCTGTAAGAGAAGCTTACCTCTCCTGAGTGAGAATTTGACCTACAGTTAGTTTCTGTGGTCACTGACCAACTGGTGGCATTTACTTACCTTCTTCCACATCCACGCTTTCTGGCCTGGGTTTTCCTTTTCAGAGAGAACTGAGCTGCTTTTCCCAGGCAAGATGTTAGACAAATTCAAGTCCTCTGTATAATGCAGGGAACACAGTAACGGTAATATTTGAAGCAACAGTATTCTTGACCTTGTTAGATCCACTGCTCAAGAGGAAATCAGACAACCAGAGCTTGCTCTGTGCTCTGAGCTTCCCCATTTTACAAAGGGGTAATAATAATATCATACCTGCTTTGTGGGGTTTGAGAATAGTATCTGTTTCTGTTAAGTATTTTAGCATGCTTGGCACATTTAGTAAGCACAAAAAAATTGCAGCTATTATCATTAGTATTATACGCATGAGAAGCCTACTTTGCCACTCCTAACAGTAGCTACTCACCACTTACAACTTTCCTAGGTGGAAAAAAAAAAAAAAACAAGTTATTGATGACTTCTAAAAAGAGAAAGATAATGAGAGATTTATTTTCTCGGATACTTAGAATGAAAGCTTTTCTGAAGACAGAGTAAAACTTCCCAAAGTCCATTTTGGCGTAGGATTCTCTCACTTCAGCTAATAAAGCACAAAACCCCTCTTGGGATGCTGCAACCATCACAAAAGGAAATGCCAGTAGAAAACTAATTTAGTGTTTGTTGTTTTGTTTGTTTGCTTGGGGTTTTTGGTTTTGTTGTTTGTGTGTATGTTTCCTTATGTTTCTTGCCTAATAAGCTGAAATGGAGCCTTCTCGTTTTCTTTCACTTAAAGATCTCTCTTAGCTGTCATGGTTTGCTCTCCAGGCATTGTCTATATCTAAACAGAACAACTCAATTGATTTGCTTTTCCATGCTTTGGGGGTTTTGTCTGATTGCCCCATTTAAATGGAACTGTTTGATCACAAATTGAAGTTTTGAAGCCTGCAGACAGGGAGATCTTCTGCTATCTCTAAATAGCAACCCACTGATTTCCAATTTAATATGGTTACTTCATTTACATGGGGTTCTTGCCCTCATAGAAATCACACTCTCATCCCCATCACTTCTCTCTTCTCCAGGGCACTTGCCCCCGCGAGATGAGAGAGACAGAGTGGGGAACTGTCAGTAAATGTTCATTTAATGCAAAATATGCACATCTTCAAATATGCTCATGATATACATTCAAATGGTCTATAACCTCCCCAGACAGAGAGCTTGACTTTTAAATGTTCAACAAACACTGGATGGAAAGAAAGAAATACGTTTAAAGATCTTTCTTTCTTTCTTTCTTTGACTAGGCCTGAAACATGGTGTATGAAAAAGTGTTTCACTAGCCATAAAGTGTTATAGGAAGTTAAATAATATTACTAAGTTGAATTTTAAATTTTGTCAAGTGGATTTAAGTCATGAGAAGTGGATTCCCAAACTGGGGAAAGAGATTATAAAAAAAACACTGGAGAGAGGTCTTAGAGGTTGTTTTTTTTTTTTTTTTTTTCTTAAAACAAACTATTGCTAAATATCATTTTAAATGGCTGGGGTATAAAGAACTCCAAAATATGTAGAACGCATTTCCTCTACAGGACACTTGGGTGTAAAAAGTAGGCAGATCGGTGGTTGGAAAAATATTAAGCTTTATGAAATTCAAAATATTTACGAAATAGCTCAATGGTGGCTTCCCACAAATGTACTCCCCAGTATCCTGTGGGAATAGTCTGCCCCAAGCCTCTCTCTCAGCAAAATTGTGAAGAAGGTCAAACCTGGGAGTGATCCCTTCTCACCAGCCATCCACACAGCTCCTCCCTCAGTATCCTGGCCCCTTTATTAGTTGCCATGTCAAATATAAAAGGAAATCGATTAAAATGTCCTGTACAAACTTATTTTCAGCATTTTAACTTACCAGAAGCAAAACTCTCACCAGCTGTTATACCCTGTTCTCCTGATTCTTTCCCAGACCCCCTCACAGAGCACTTCCCCCTGCCCCAACCTGCCTAGCAAGGTGTTAGATGGAACCTTCCACAGCCCCTTCCACACGGCCTCACTCCATCTCAAATGCTCAAGACCCCTGGAACAAAATGGTTCAATGTTCAGGCTCTAGATTCAAGCCAAATAAGTTTTAATCCTGCCTGGATTTGCCTCCTGGAGGCAAAGGTCCTCAAGTTTATTTGCTTACCTGAACCTCAATTTCTTCATCTCTAAAATGGAGATTATCATAATACCTATCTCACCACGTTGTTGTTAGGTTTAAATGAGGGAAGCTTTGTAAAATGCTTAACACAGAACACAAAGAACTTAATAGATGTTATCGAGTACTGTTATACAATTATCTGTGCCTTTCATGGTAATAACCAGGGAACTAATCTGATGTTGACGAGATAAGACTGGGAAGACCTCCCTGTCTGACAGCCAAGTTCTTCTCCCTCTCTCTTAGGCAAGAGAAATCTCCAAGACATAGGGACCCTGCCTTTGCTGCCAGACCTCAAGGGTGGGTCTAAACAGAAACACTGCTAAGCGTCCAGGCAGGCTGGCAGAGAAAAGAAGAGGCTTCAAGGGGGTTGGCACGGGGTTCAAAGAGGGATTGAGGAAAGAGCACTGGACTGGGAGTCACCAAAAGCCAAATTTGGATCCTGATTCCCCTATTTATGAGGTGTGTCACCTTGGACCAGTCAGAGAACAATATTTTACTGGTAATGAATACACAGCCCATCAGCTTTACCAGCCCTGAGAAAGGTTGTTGTTAGGCTCAGTTGAGACAATGTTTACAGATATCTTCAGCAGACCTACTATAAGCCCCACTGTAGTTCTGCTCCGTATATGATTCTCTTCCAGGAAAGTTCAGGGTGGGACTCAGGAAACCACATTTTAAGCCAATACCTCCAGGTGATTCTGAAGCAAGTCTAAAGACTGCACTTGGGGAAACACTGTATTGTACAACTCAAAAACACTGGTATTATCACTTCTCCTTCGTGTGAATTCAGACTTCAGTTTAGCTAAGGAGGTGGGATCCTAGAACTCAAGTAATTCCAGGTATCCCGTGGGCAGAAAACTTGACCTCAGTAGCACAGATTACAGTTGAAGGATATCTAGAAATTGAAAGTTCAGAAGGAATAATGGTCTGCTTGGGTTGTTTTTGGTCTTAACACATCCCAGTGGAGACAAAAATAACCAAAACATTTCAAAGGCAATAACTCGCTGAGGAAATTAGTAAAAGATGAAAAAAAAACAGACATTTTTTCAGCACCCCTCCCTTAGTGAAAATCCACCTTCCATACCTCTCATTTGTACTTCACAGCCTTCTTTGTGTGAGTCATTTAGGCACGTGCCCACCTTTCTGTTAGAGCATTCATCCTGAAGATTTTTGTCACCCTTCTCCTACAAAGTTTTGGGTTTAGTGGGTATGTTGAATTTGAATTCAAATTCAAATCAATCCTAGGAAATCCAGTCCACATCCTATGAGAAATTTCCACCCCATCCTGATTTTGCAATAGGCAAACTTTTCAACAAATAGAGCTGGAATTCCCAAAATAAATAAAAATAACCTCTTTTGGTACAAACCAAAAAGTGGTCATTCCAGGCGGTCACAGCTCTGCCATAAGCAAACCCACTCCACCACAGGCATTTGCTCATTTTCCAAATCTGAAACAATCATGTCTTCCTTTTTCTGTATGTTTCTGTGCTCTTTGTAACTTTTATTAATCTTTATTAACCTGTATGCATGAGTATGTGAGTTTTTACTGCAATCTATTTTGGTAGCTTTTTCAAGTACAAAAGAAATAGTTACACATAAACAAATACAATTAAAAGATCTGAGGTGGGCTTCATAAAGACAGACACTGTAATGGAATATATCTGTAGTATACAAATGGCTCTACGGTACTGCCAAAATCTCTAAAAATTATTTCTACTTTATCACTGCTGTAAATGTAATTTTATCCAACAAAGAGTAAATCTGATCAATTGTGGCACTGTTGTAACACTGGTACTAGAACTGTGTATGACCAGAGATGTAAAAAACAAACCTGCCGAGCACAGAGACTCACACTTGTAATCCCAGCACTTTGGGAGGCTGAGGCCAGTAGATCACCTGAGGTCAGGAGATTGAGACCATCCTGGCCAACATGGCGAAACCCTGTCTTCACTAAAACTACAAAAATTAGCCAGGCGTGGTGGCACACACCTGTAGTCCCAGCCTCTTGAGAGGCTGAGGCAGGAGAATCGCTTGATCTGGGAGGCAGAGATTGCTGTGAGCCGAGATCATGCCACTGAACTCCAGCCTGGGTAACAGAACAAGACTCCGTCTCAAAAAAAAAGGTCAAAAAAAAGCCAAAAAACAAATCTATTTCTTCACCTGACTCACCAGTTCGTACCCTATAAATCTCCCTGATGGAATGACTACTAACTTTAAAGTATCTTCATTTCAAATTAGCACTATTTTCTTCCCTTGAGGAAAGTTTTCCTTTCTTGTCCAAATCTTTGTTCTAATTGAGGGGACAGGACAAATTGACATATCTGACTGCCATGTAATGGGCCTTACTTCCCCACATTGACCTGAGATGAGGTCTAGGCATGTGGGTGAGCAAGTGTAGGGTGGGAGTCTTCGTGGTGTTTGCTTGTTTGTTTGTTTGTTTGTTTGTTTGTTTTTAAGAGATGGGGCCTTGTTCTGTCATCTAGGCTGTGACACTTCAGCCTCCAGCTCCTGGGCTCAGGCAATCCCTCCTGCTTCAGCGTCTCAAACAGCTGGGACTATAGGCATGCACCACCGTGCCCAGTATGCACCACTGTGCCCCTTAATATTTTTTTAGAGATTGGGGGTCTCACTATGTTGCCCAGGCTGCTCTCAAACTCCTGGCCTCAAATGATCCTCCCACCTCAGTCTCCCCAGTGGCTGGGATTATAGGCGTGAGCCACTGCACCTGGCTACCTTAATTATTAAAACACCTAATGTTGGGAAGATAAAAACGTTCTGGGGTTCTAGAGATGATAGTGGTGGATGAATAACAATATACATGTCCTTCATACCACCAAACTGTACATTTAAGAATGGTTAAAAAGGTAAATTTTGTTATGTATATTTTACCACAATAAAAAAATTTTAATGGTAGTTGGTGTAAATCTCAAACTACAAACTCATGAAATATAATTTCCTTTATTTTTACATAAATGAACACAATTTTGTTTTAAACTTGATCTAAGTCAATTAGGATTTCACTCCTTTTCCTTCCCCAGTTGGATACAAGTTCTGATATTCTTTTGCAATTCCAGGGAATTGGTTTGGGATGGGATTAAGGGCAAGTCATTTGGCCCTTAATATCAATTCATGCTGGGGTCCTCTAAGACCTTTGTCACTCCACCTAATCTTAAGCAGTTTACCTTGGAGATAGCCCTTGTTTCTCTATGTATATAACCCTCTCCACCATCACTACTCCCCACTGGGGGATTTGGGAATCATTCTGCTGCTTTCATTCTCTTTGCTTTTTTTAGGTTTACCAAAGGCCAGTCTCCCACTGTGGTTTTAGGAGCACACTCTCTCTCAAAGAATGAGGCCTCCAAACAAACATTGGAGATTAAAAAATTTATACCATTCCCAAGATTTACATCAGATCCTCAATCAAATGATATTATGCTGGTTAAGGTAGGTAGCAGCATTGCCTTCCTTCTATTTTGTCAACATTTTTATACAGGATGGCTCAATTAGTTAATCACCTGCACAAAAGCATTTTGTTAGCACCCGCCCCATGTTTGAGGTGATTATGATATATTTTATAAGGGCCCATGTTATTCCATATACTGCCTTGAAAGAAACAAGAATTTATCACAAATGTATCAGGGCTGCGTTTATACAAGGAAAAGCAACTCTGATACTCACATATGTAGGAGGGGAACATCTTACAAAGCCCAAGGATCCACACTGAAAGCTTTTCTCCCAAATGCTTTTCTCATTAGCAAGTAAAAAATACAACAGTTGTTTATACAACAGAGCCAACCAAGTGACTTCAGGGGCTCAGCAGCGAGTTACAACTTAGTCTAGACCACACTTAGTCTAGTCCAAACTTGGTCTAGACCATACTCAAGGGTCCTATCCAGCAGGAAGCAGCCCAGCCCTCAAAGTCATGACCTATGGATGTTATTCCACACAAAACCATCCAATGCAGGGCAAAGGCCAGTTTGCTCGAGACTGGACAAAATTCCTGCTGTCTATAAGCTCCCTCCCCAAGCCTCAGTGAGCTCCTCGGGGAGTAGAGAGCATGGTCAGAAAAGCAACAACCACAAATGCAGCTGCAGGCCACCACCAAAGTAGATTCCAGAACAGGGACGCCTGCCTAAGACGGAGACCACACATACAACGCACAGGCTAGCATCAGAATACTACTGGGAAAGAAATAATTCAATCTTTTATCAATCTGTCAGCTTCAAACAGCCGCAAAACTCAATAAACATGTCAAGCTGCTCCACGTAAGATCCAAAAACTATCTTAGATCTGGAACCAAATGCGAGGTTACTGGCTGGGGAGCCACCGACCCAGATTTCTTAAGACCTTCTGATACCCTGAGAGAAGTCACTGTTACTGTCCTAAGTCGAAAACTTTGCAACAGCCAAAGTTACTACAATCACGACCCTTTTATCACCAAAGACATGGTCTGTGCAGGAGATGCCAAAGGCCAGAAGGATTCCTGTAAGGTAAGAATCTCTCTTTTAAACAGGCAGCTCGGAGCGCTGTACAGTAGCCAAGCTTCCATTGCTCACTGACACTGAGGAGGAGGGAGGGGCATAGAGAATACAAAACCACAATTCTAAACACTTTCTCTCCATTCCTGCACAGCGTTCTCTATTCTTTTTCATCTACCAATGTGAATGGATTGTAAAAACTTCCCCAATGCTTCATAAGCACCCACTAAATGTTTGTTAATCAGGATAATAGACTATATCTGACAACTTTTACAGGCTTCCTATGAGAGGTGTTATCCTCCTTAGAAAGTCTACCAACCCTGAAGTCACTAGTGGTGATTAGAAGATAACTTATTTAAAGAACCACCTTGCGGATTAATCAATAAGGAGGTCTTATAAGACTCAAATGCAAAAAGCTCAAATATACAGTATGTGTTTCATAAGTAATGCTGACTGTCTTCATCTGTTTGGGCTGCCACCACAAAATACCATAAACTCGGTGGCTTATAAATAACAGAACTTTATTGTGTTCAAGATCAAGATCAAGGCACTAGCACATTTGGTGTCTGGGGAGGGCCTACTTTCTGGTTCATAAACGGCTTCTTTTCACTCTAATCTCACATGGTAGATGGGGTGAGGCGTCTCTCTTAGGCCTCTTTAATAAGGGAACTAATCTCATTTATGAAGCCTTCACCTCCATGACCTAATCACCTCCCAAAGGCCCCACCTCCTAATACCCTCACCTTGGGAGTGAGGATTGCAACATATGAATTCGGAGGAATCAAACATTCAGACCATACTGCTGACTAACAAAAAGAAACAAAAGGCCGGGCACAGTGGCTCACACCTGTAATCCCAGCACTTTGGGAGGCCAAGGTGAGTGGATCTCTTGAACTCAGGAGTTTGAGACCAGCCTGGGCAACATGGTGAAAACCTGTCTCTACAAAAAATACAAAAATTAGCCGGGCATGGTGGCATACGCCTGTAGTCCCACCTACTCAGGAGGCTGAGGTGGGAGGATCACCTGAGCCCAGGAGGTTGAGGCTAAAGTGAGCCGAGATCTTGCCACTGCATTCCAGCCTGTGTGACAAAATGAGATCCTGTCTTAAAAGAAAAAAAGGAACAAGAGTCATTATATTTTTCAAAATCTTTTGTTTACTGAGATGGTAAAGAAAAAAAATAGGTGTTCATGTTTATATGAACTATACTAATATATAGTACAAATGAATTACTAATTTTTTAAAAAATTAGAATACAGTATTCATTTCATACTATATTAAGTATTATTGGGGAAGAGGATATGATGACTTCAAATGTCTTTTGCATCTGCAGTACCCACGACCATCACCCTCCTAAACATCTGTTATCATGGTTGACCAAAGTACAAGGCACTGCAGTTTGCAATGTGAACATTAGCAAAGAGAAAGGCTGGTCTTCAAAGAAGCCAGCTCTTCATTAAAAGACCATGCCATCCCCTCTATAGCTCTTTCCCTTCACTTGATAGAATTTAGTTACATGTTTTGCTGTTAGAGTGAGTCTTCAAAAATCATTTCATTCACTAAGTATTTACTAAGTGTGATACATATACATAGCACTATGTCCAACCATATGAGGATGCAAAAAAATAAATAAGTAACAGAGAACATATAATTCCTGCCATCAAGACATTTACTACAATACATTGCTCTTTTCTGCTACTCTCAATAGCAATTTGATTTTAGGTCTATGAGCATCAAAATGAAATATACAACTTTAAAAGATTATTTTATTTCAGTGGATTATTTAAAACCTTATCCATTCTTTAATAAATAGTCAATAGTCATTGATTCCCAGAGGAAAGTAGACATAGATAGGGACAAAACAGAGACAAGGACATGGACACCGAGACAGAGGCAGAGGCATAGTCATAGTCATAGTTAGAGACATAAACAGAGAAGCAAGTAGGCAGAAACATAGTCCTAGACAGAGACAGGCATATAGAGAACCTATAACGAGTAAAAGGCAGTGTCAGACACTCTCCAGGACATAAAGAAAGCAACGACCCAGATAATACTCCTTTGAACAATCAACAGTTGGTGCTTAAAAAACAAAATTCCAACAGCTTCTCACCACATATTTTCCCTTTTTCTTCTTTCCAGGGTGATTCAGGGGGCCCCTTGATTTGTAAAGGTGTCTTCCATGCCATAGTCTCTGGAGGTCATGAATGTGGTGTTGCCAAAAAGCCTGGAATCTACACCCTGCTAAACAAGAAATACCAGACTTGGATCAAAAGCAACCTTGCCCCACCTCATACAAATTAAGTTACAAATGATTTTCTTGGATGCACTTGCTTCTTTTTTCCTAAATGCTCACAGGTTAGAGTTGGATGTAAGTAAAGCAGAACACAAGATGGGGTCCATTTTTGTACTTGTAAGTCATTTTATTAAGGAATCAAGTTCTTTTTCTCTTGTGTCACTGATGTATTTCTACCATGCTGGTTTTATTCTAAATAAAATTTAGAAGACTCTCTGTTTGTCTTTTATCACATGAAGTAATATCTACCCCCATTCCACCCACACTCCCCAAAGGGCAATAAGGTCACTGAACAAAACAGTAATGGTACCACCTTCAACCAGGTGTGACTTCTGCTGGATCATCCTAAGTTGTTGGGTTGTTTTCATTGTTGTGATAACATTAAACATGAGATAGGCCCTTTCAACAAATATTTAAGGGTGCGATACATTATTGTTAACTATAGGCATGATCTTGCAGTGCAGATCTCTAGAACTGCTTCATCTCCTATAAATTAAACTTCATGCCAGTTGAATAGCAGCTCCCTATTTCCCCACCACTCCCATCCTCTGGCAACCCGATTCTACTCTAAGCTTCTATGAGTTTGTATTTTTTAAATATAAATCATAAATATAAATATCCCAATTCAAGCAAGCAGCTTATACAAATGTTTGGACAGTATTTTTTATTTATATATGTCATATTTTGTTCTAGAAAGGACTTAAAGCAATGTACAAAAACACCTGCAACAAAACAAAATGCAGAATTAAAAACAAATTGATGAAAGTATTGGGACAATGGGGAAATGAGAGTAAGAAAGAGAAGATGAAGGCTAAGTAGTCACATGGTACTGATAGTGCCACAAGTTTCTTTCTATACATTTGCTAGAAGGATTCACATTTGAGTCCTGTATGCTTTGGCCAATGCAAGAAAGAGCAACGCAATCAATTATATGAATTACAGTGTCCAGGAAATAAAAATAAATTGTTTACCCAGAAGTAGGACCGCTGGTACTGGAACTAAAACTAGAGAGAACTTTTTTCCACAGTCCTTCTTTTCCAAAAAAAGGACACTGTGACGGCCTGGCATGGTGGCTAACACCTGTAATCCTAGCATTTTGTGAGGCCAAGGCGGGCATTATCATGAGGTGAGGAGATCCAGACAATCCTGGCTAACACAGTGAAACCCTGTCTCTACTAAAAAATACAAAAATTAGCCGGGTGTGGTGGCGGGCGCCTGTAGTTCCAGCTACTCGGGAGGCTGAGGCAAGAGAATGGCGTGAACCTGGGAGGCGGAGCTTGCTTTGAGCTGAGATTGTGCCACTGCACTCCAGCCTGGACAACAGAGCAAGATTCCGTCTCAAAAAAAAAAGGAAGAAGAAGAAGAAAGAAGAAAGAAGAAAGAAGACAGAAGAAGAAGGAGAAGGAGAAGGAGAAGGGGAAGGGGAAGGGGAAGGAGAAGAAGAAGAAGAAGGAGGAGGACACTGTGCTATGTTTCCCATATCCCCACCAATTGCATCAGAACCACCTAAGATTATCTGTAATACAGGTTCCCTTGACCTCTTGCCTAGAAATTCAGATTGAATAGGCTTGGGGTGAGTCTGAAAATCTGCGTTTTTTTCAAAGCAACTCAGTTGATGCTGATAAATGGGCAAATCTGAAAGCCACTGATAATGAACTTCCTTAGTAACTTCTTATAATAAAGACAAAAATTTATGTCAAGGGATTGTTACAAATCTTTCAGTGTGAACTGATGGCTTCAGACCAAAAGGCAATTCAAGTAAGATCACTGGAGTATCTCAGCTGTCTTGGGCTGTGGTCATCCAGTGATTAGAGAAGTAGCAATTTCTAATTTGGGTGGAGGAGCACGGTGGGAGATTGGTGGGGGATGGCTTCAACAGTCAGAAGCCAAAAGATTAATCTCAGCCTCTATATTTAATTTGAGTTTGGGGGGATAAATAGTTCTCGTTTCCAGGCAACATCATCAAGTTCTCTTACATGTATATAGAAATAGATGCTTTTGGTAGTTTGTTTATTTGCTTATCTTTTGTCATGGTTCTTAGAAACCATTAACCAGCACTACCCTGCACTATGAATACTTACAGAAATGGAAGCACTGGGTTAAAAAGGCAACCTAACTAAAATTATTGAGAATAAATTTTTTAAATTATTGAGAAAATAGTAAAAGAAGGTTATTTAAATATCTCATCTTGTATCATTTTGATTTATTAAAAAATACTGATTATGAAATCCCAAACTATATTTTACAACAAAAGAAAAGGAAAAAATTGTAGATTCTCTGGACTCACCATTAAAAAATAATCCTGTGTCTATTTTCTCTAAATTTCAAATCCATGAAACATATCATTATAAATCTTTTTAACCAAAAGGACTATTGCCATTACCCATAATTCCAGCTGATGAGTTATCCTGAAAAGCTGTCACTAAAACTTGAGAGCTGTGTTTTGATTTTAGATTCCCTGCTGTTAATATCCAATAGTCGAACCTGATCAGATTGCCAGAGAAGGTCCTTTCAACAGCTGTGGCAGATCTGGCAACTCTGAAATTGGAAGATAAACAGTTTATTTTGACAAGCAGCTAATGATAGAAACTGCAACTGAAATGCATTCCTTATCCTTCAGGAAAGTCGTGTTTTGTTAAATGTACCAGTATCTCTATTCTTTTAGGGTATGCCCTAAAAGAATAGAGTATTTTATTTGGAAACTTCTGTCTTTGAGAGCCTATTTGATTCTATCTATGGCCTCAAAATGAAGTTGAGAGTCAAACTGAAGCAAATATCCAGATTTTAAAACTGCTCAAAGGTTTTAGAGCAAAGTAGTTTGATGTTGTCATTCTAATCATTCCACTTCCTCCCTTCTTTGTGGTTGTGGACAGAGTATATTTGCCTTCCCCGCAGATACAAAAGAAGGCTTTATGCTTTATTTTATGTCCACCCTGTTATAATAGAAAGTGACAGCACTAAGTCCAGATATAATGCATGAAATACATCAGAATTGATTCAAATAAGCAATTAAACCAGTCTAGAACCAGGTAGCAGAACTAGTCCTACCTTCTGACTCTCTTAGTTCTTGCACATATTAAATCTCAACTCACTCTAAAATGATATGAAGAGCAGTGCTTCAAGCTTGGTTGTTTTTAGAAAACTATCTGAATAAAGGAAGGTACTGTTGGTCAATCAAAGAAGTGCTTCCTTTTTTACTAAGCTCTTGGTTTGGCAAAGGACACTGCTGTAGACTGAATCATGTCTGCTCCAAATTCATATGATGAAGGCCTAACCCTCAGTGTGACTGTGTTTGGAGGTGGGGCCTATAAGGAGGTAAATAAGGTAAAATAAGATCATAAGGGCAGGGCTCTGCTCCGATGAGATCCCAGTGTCCTTACAAGAAAAGAACTAGAGAGCTCAATTGCTCCCTCTGTCTGCTATGTGAGGACACGGTAAGACAGTAGCCATCGATAAGCCAGGAAGTGGGCCCTCCCCAGAAAATGAATAGGCCAGCACCATGATCTCGGACTTCCAAGCCTCCGGAATCATGAGAAATAAATTGCTATTGTTTAAGCCACTTAATCTGCAGTATTTTGTTATAGCATCCCAAGTTGACTAAGCCAGACACACCTGTGGTGAGGGAGAAAGGACACTGTGTGCAACCTGCCCAAGGGCAGGGCAGCTGATGTCTCGACAGCCCTACAATTTCAAAAGATTACTGAGATATGCCTGAAAAGCTATCTGTATGTTGTCTGATGAGTTATTTGAGGACCAAGGGCAGCCTGGCTGAATGGTTGGGCTCTTTGTGTCTTAACTGATTCAGCCCTGCTTTCACGCTTTCACACAATGACTTCCTGTTGACTTCTCCAGTCTTTTTGCTGAGTCATATCAGTCCACTGTAGACTTACAAAATATCCTCGTCACTTACTATGCTCTACCATGAAAGGATCACATTCTTTTTCTGGTTTTAGCCATAAATATCTGTGTGACAGCCTGTTAAGAGTCAGCATATGGATTTACACTGAGGCTTTCCCTAAGAACTTATAAATAAGTTGAATAAAATTGCTCTCTGAAAGTTAAAATTTAAACTTTATGCGTATTAGGTCAGAGCAGAGATACATAAAATCACTCTGAAGAGACATGAGACATTCCCAAACCTACAAGACTATTATCTGCTTGAAGGTTAGAGACTACCGGTTTGCTACTCAGTCATCTCCTCTTTTTCTCTGGCATCAAAACTCAAATATTATTTGGTACCACAAATGTGCACAGCCAAAACAAGCCATTTTCGAGCCTCTCTCCTTGCCAGTAATGGTCATTGAGAAATAAGTGAAAGTGATTGGCCGAGGTTTCTAGGAAGTACCTATAAAAGGAGCTGATTCCGCTGGAAGGAGTGCCCTTTCCCCCTTCTTCCTTCCTACTGCCTGGATTGCATATGTGATGGCTAGAGCTCCAGCAATAATGCTGAACCACGAGGCAAACTTAAATCAAAGCCAAGCGCTAGTGACAGTGAAGTGGAAAGAAGCAGTTGATGACCAAAGCACCTCCATACCAATCCTGTACTTTTTGTTTTACATGAAATAAAAATAAAAACTATTTAATCCACTGTTATTTGAAGCTTTCTGTTGTATACATCCCACCTAATCCTAATAATAAATTTGGAAACCTAAATCTTCTATGCCTGATATATGCTCCAAACAATGACAAGTATGTGCCTTTATCCCCTTATACCCTCTCAAATCCTAAATGGCTTTAGCTTTCCACCTTCCCTTATTCATACAAGAATCAATTCAGAAAAAGTAACATTTAAATGTTATAATCAATAAACCATTTCCCCCTCACTGCTCCATCTATAGCTTACTATGGAGAAACTTCCCTGGCCTACCTGACAAGCTATTTTTATCTTTACCACATACTGCTGTATGGCAAACATTTTTGTTTCTATTATAAAAATGATACATATCACTCAGTAGTCTGTAATAAGCTTTACTCTGTTGGTGTATTTTTTTTTTTTTTTTTGAGATGGAGTCTGGCTCTGTCACCCAGCCTGGAGTGCAGCAGTATGATCTCGGCTCACCGCAAGCTCCACCTGCCGGGTTCACACCATTCTCCTGCCTCAGCCTCCCGAGTAGCTGGGACTACAGGTGCCCGCCAGCACACCCAACTAATTTTTTGTATTTTTAGTAGAGATGGGGTTTCACCATGTTAGCCAGGATGGTCTCGATCTTCTGACC